TGAACCGTCTACAGGTGGTTCAGAACGCCTGTGCTCGGCTTCTGACCAAGTCCTCCAAACACACCCACATCACCCCGCTTCTCCTCCAGCTTCATTGGCTGCCAGTCAACTTCAGGGTTCATTTCAAGATCCTGGTTCTGGTCTTTAGGGCCTTACATGGACAAGCACCATCTTACATTGGTGATCGTCTTAGTCCCTACACCCCCAGCAGGTCCCTGAAGTCCAGTGACCACAGCCTACTGGTTGTGCAGCACCAGGCTAAAGGTCAAAGGTGACATGTCATCTGCTGCTGTGACCCCCCAGACTCTGGTCCTCTTTCCCCCTGAGCCTGAGATCAGTGGACTCAGTGGTCTCCTTTAAACTCACCTGCTCAGGTTTGGTGGGACCTGCCTCACCACCCTCTCCTGGTCCTGCTCTTATTCCACCTTTCCCAGATCCACTGGTTTCCTCATATTTTTTAGTCACAGTTTTAGATTTTTCGTATTTAATGATTTTCAATCGTTTTTGATTCATTTATTTTGTTCTTGTGAAGCAGCTGCTGAATTATATATGGCTGTGTAAAAGATCGTTTAGTCTTCAAACAGATCAGAAACTCACCAAATAAAAGATGACATCGGCTCATGTTGGTTAACTACACTTTTATCTGCAGGTTTTTTTTAATAACAAACTGCAGATAAAATCAGAAAAACATGACTCCGCTTCTCTGTGGCGATGACATGCTGTCGCCGAGGCTAGAACGTCCGTGAGGAGGGCAACACGGCTCCTCCCCGCTCCCTCACCGCGGTCAAGCCAGCCGCATATTATCCGCCGCGAAAATTTCATTGCGCGTTTACAACAGTCTTTACGGTACCACATTTTGAACAGGGAACTGCCCAACTCGTGACAGTCTGGTTAAAGATTCAAAAATTCATAAAAAATCATCCGTCATAGCTGATGTACAACTTTCACCACATCCTTATTCTGGAACACCTACTGTACCTGTGTACCACATTTCAGACAGATTTACTGTAGAAATCTCCAGATATTAAAGAAAACTTATATTCAGTCCAATACAGTCAATAGAATTATGTCATTTTTCAAAAATTCATAAAAAATCATCCGTCATAGCTGATGTACAACTTTCACCACATCCTTACTCTGGAACACCCACTGTACCTGTGTGCCACATTTCAGACAGTCAAGTCCTTCTTTTGACTCATTTTGCCAAAGGAAAGGACGTTGCCTAATAATTATGCACACCTGATATAGGGGGTTGATGTCATTAGACCACACCCCTTCTCATTACAGAGATGCACATCACCTAATATGCTTAATTGGTAGTAGGCTTTCGAGCCTATAAAGCTTGGAGTAAGACAACATGCATGAAGAGGATGATGTGGACAAAATACTCATTTGCTAATAATTCTGCACTCCCTGTATACGTCATATTAACTTCACAACATTAACATACAAGGGAGACTGGAACGTAATGGGAGGTGACACAAAAGGATCTATGTAAACAAAGGAGTAAAGACTGAGCAACTATGAGCTGTCATGGAGAATTAGAAGAACGTTATATAAAGTATCGACAAAATAAAACTAGTAAATAATAACAGCAAAAACTGCAATTACAATTATTCAATCAATAGTAATCTGTATCAACAAATACCAAAACAAATGCAGAAACGGTTGTGTCACATACCCAAACTGCGATAATCACATTGTCTTCTTAATTTAGTGTAATTTTTTTACAAAAGGTATTAAAATGAAAAAGACTGCAATACAAAATCAAAATGATCTAGCTCTATTTACAGTTCTGAAATACATAACCTTTATATGTACACATACAAAATTTCTAAATAATAGTTACACCTGTTCCTCAGTTTCTATCAATGCAAATAAGAAATCACATGACATTAGTCAACCTTATATTGTCACGTTGAAAGGTTGGTTTGTAGGACCCAAAATGCAGCACCCAAGATGACACGAGGCAGGAATGAGAATAAGTAAAATACTTTATTTAAAGGTGAGTCAAAAACAAAAGTAACTCTAAGGCGGAGAGCCAAAATCCAAAATGTTCAAAATCTAATACTTGAGATACAAAAACAGAGATACAAGAAGAACAAGCAAACTAGAGACGAGGAACAGAATTACCACAAAGGACAGACAAGGCACTGAGACAAGACAGGGCTTAAATACACAGGGAGGATGAGAGGGAGATGAGCTGCAGGTGTGTGGGATGTGGGAGGAGGACCAGGTGAAGGCAATGACTAATCAGGGGAGAAGCATGAGGGGAGATGCAGACACAGACCATGACATATATACATTTTACAAATGAAATAAGACTTTTTATTTTTCACAGAGTGCACACTCCCATTCTGCAGCCTCTGCCTTCAGATACAGCTCTGTGTTCATCTGCAAGCACTGTTTGTGAAACCACCTTGCACAGCTGTCACACTGGATCTGTGAATGTTCAACAAACCAAAAATCAAAAAAATTATTTTGTCACATGATTTAACATGAATATCTTTATTAATCTGCCATTACTATGTATTTCATATTTTCTTTACATGTCAATTATTCAAAATAACTAACACACCAAGGCAAAAAAAATTAATGCAAGTTTAGGCTAAATTTCCCCTCTTCCTCAATACAAAAACCAAATAACAAAAGCAACTGTACACAATACATTTTGTTAAATAATATCCTCAATTACAAATCTGTCTTACCCATTTGGTGATAGAAGGCCCTGGAAAAGGTGGTTTTGGAGTTGGACACATGGAACAATTGTTTTCTGCCTCGAACACTATTACAAATACAGTAAAATTTGTGATTGACAATGAATATATTTAACTACAAGTAATCTCTTTGTGCTCTAACACTTCACAAACCTGAGGCTCCCAGTATTTGTGAAGCAATTGCTTCACGCTGTTGCACCATTGCTTTCGGTGTTGTTTTATTTATTTATTTATTTTTATTTAGTTTTTTTTACCGTGTCCTGTCTGGCTGTGAAGCAAGCAGAATTGATGTCTGAATGCTGGTGACAAGCCTTACAGATTTACTCTCAGGTGGAGCATCAAAGCGTTTGCTTTTAATGTCACGCCTGATACTTCAAACGTTATTGCTATTGTTGTTGAATGCTTTGTAATTCCGACCAGACACGGAGACAGAGGTGAAAGAGAAAGGAAAAGAATAGGTGGGGAGAGGGGGGGGGGGGGGTCCACAAAAATAAATAAGGAACAAGAGTCTGCTTCTAGACCTGCAGAAAAAGACAAAAAAAAGCAAAAGGACAAAAAAATGGGACACAACAACAATACAAGATCTACCTATCACTGCGCCAACTTGATGAAAAAATATATAATTAACATTGCTTAACTGAAGAATCACGATAATAAATCACAGTGCATTAAGTGCCCACCATAGTCTTAAGACCCGTGTTTAACGTGCCCAAGTCCATACTTTTGAGAGCACCATGTGAGCACCTGTGTGTGTACACGCGCTTGTTTATTTAAGGTTTCTCTATAGCAGCGTCCAACAGAGAGTGTGAGGGACCACAGATCTGCCCCCCAAAGATGTGCAGGAGACGGGGGAAGCTCCAAGTCCCAGAGATCCAGGCGCTGCTCCAGAACACAGGAACCCCAAGGAGACTGTAACCAGAAAGGCCCCCGCCCCCCTCGAGAGGCACAGAGGATCGCCCCGGGGGGCCACAACCAGCAGCCGGCAGAGTCCCGGGAGATATCAGCGGCAAGCCCACAGGCCCACCCGCAGCCTCCCACCCCCTAGCCGGCCGAGCCCGGGACCCAGGGGCGACCACCCCCGCCGGGGACCCAGCAGAACCCAGGGACCCAGGCCCCACCAGGCAGCCACCGGGATCTATCCGGCAGATGCCAAAATCTTAAACCCCCAGACCCGGTTGCCACGAACACTCAGGCAGACCAAGGCACAACCCCTCACACCAGGTGTGGCAGGGGGAGGGGGGACGAAGATCTATATCATCAAGAGAAGTTCCAGGAGAGGGGAGGAGTCAAAGGCCCCACCTGACATATACAGTCATACACAAACACAGTCACACACTCCCTCCCTCATGCTCACACATGCACATACAACCCAAGACTTACAGAAATGCACGCCGGACACCCACTCATGCTCCCCATACACACCCTATTCACTCTGGTCCCGGTACTGCTGCACTTTGGGTACAACCATCACCGGTAACCAAAGTTTGACCCTTTCTGCTGGGGTGCTGATGAGCAGCCCCCCCCCCCCCCCCCCCCCCCCCCCGCCCAACGCTGAGCACAGCAACCCACCACCACGGACCCCAACCAGTCGGCCAGATCTCCCTCCTAGCCTCCAGCCCCAGGAAGCCAAGCAACAACAGAGGTGTGCTAAGACCCCTAGTCTCCCTCCACCTGCTCCAATATAGTGTTGTATGTTAAAGAGGTGGATTCCATGGCTGTGGTGAGCAGGAAGTGTGGGCATTGTCTGGCCTATACCAGCTGATGCCACCGCACCACCCCACTTACACCCTCAGCCATCAGTGTCTAAGTGCGGTTTAAAATTGGAAGTGGGCACCGGCACCCGGGAGGAGGCTGAGATATCCTCATGCCAAATGCAGTTGAATGTGCTCACTCCCAAGGCCCTAAGTGTGTGTTTGTGTGGAATGTCGTCAGTGGAAGTGTATAAGGTGCAAATAAAATTGGGGGGCAGGTTGCCACAGGAATGCAGAAATGGGGTCCATACCCGCACTCCCTGACTTGTCCACCCCCCAAGGTCCTATGTGTATGTTTGTGTGATGCTTTAATATCTGAAGATTTCTACAGTAAATCTGTCTGAAATGTGGTACACAGGTACAGTGGGTGTTCCAGAGTAAGGATGTGGTGAAAGTTGTACATCAGCTATGACGGATGATTTTTTATGAATTTTTGAATCTTTAACCAGACTGTCACGAGTTGGGCAGTTCCCTGTTCAAAATGTGGTACCGTAAAGACTGTTGTAAACGCGCAATGAAATTTTCGCGGCGGATAAGATGCGGCTGGCTTGACCGCGGCTCACAATTGACGGCTCACTTGACAGCGGTCTCCCTCCTGTCTGACACGCGCAGCGCCCCGCGCCTCTGCACAGCTCGTCTGCGTGATCCGGAGACGGACAACAGCTGTCAGCTCCCAGAAAACCAGGAGTCGCTGCTGGCAGACAAACCAGTGATGAGAGAGCACGGGGACAGGAACGGGCACGTTTATTCTGCGCGGAGCGGCAGTGCGCTGCAGGAGCGCGCTCCGAGGCTTCAGCGGCTTCTGCGTTCAACTGGAACCCGAGAGGCGTGCTGAGATCAACACCGAACTCCCAGAGCGAGGTAAACACAGCTCTTCTGCTCGGAGACTTCCACCACTTTCTGCCTGTTTCATTTATTAGCAGGACCAAACCAGACCACACAGGAGCTGAAGCTTGTCACTGCGCTTTTGGATTGACTCATTCATGTAGGCTACTCAGGATCCTTACCCGGTAGGGTTAGGGTTAGGTTTACCAGTCTGCTGCAACAATCAACTAACCATATAGTGAGTTTAGCCCGGAAGTAATCAGTTCTTAATTCGTTCGAAAACTGACAGATATCACATCCATTTAATCTGTAGGAGCAACACACACACACACACACACACACACACACACACACACACACACACACACACACACACACACACACACACACACACACACACACACACACACACACACACACACACACACACGTCTGTCTTTCTATCATAGTGAGGACCCTTTATTCCACTCCTATTCATGTCTGTGACCCCACTATAACCCTAACCTTAACCCTTACCAGTGCTGATCTACTCCTAAACCTAACCTAACTAAAAGCTAACTGACACCAAACCTCTAAAACCAACTGGTGAGAGTGGACCATAAAAATCATCACTTTTTTGGGGAAAAAGGTTCTTAACATTAAGCAGTCTAACACTTGGTTTTAGAGGTTTGATATGAATTAATTTGTAGTTTAGGTTAGGGTTAGTGGAGCCACTAACATTAATGGAAGTCAATGGAGGTCCACACAAACATATAAATACAAGTGTGTATGTATCTGTGTGTGTGTGTGTATTTGTGTGTGTGTGTTTTTGTGTGTGTATGTATTTGTGTGTGTGTGTGTGTGTGTGTGTGTGTGTGTGTGTGTGTGTGTGAGTGTGTGTATGTATTTGTGTGTGCATGTGTGTGTGTGTGTATGTATTTGTGTGTGTGTGTATGTGTGTGTTTCTGTGTGTGTGTGTGTGTGTGTGTATTTAGGTGTGTGTGTGTGTGTGTGTGTGTGAGAGTGTGTATGTATCTGTGTGTGTGTGTGTGTGTGTGTGTGTGTGTGTGTGTGTGTGTGTGTGTGTGCGTGTATGTTTCTCTGTGTGTGTGCATGTGTGTTTCTTTGTGTGTATATGTATCTGTGTGTGTGTGTGTGTGTGTGTGTGTGTGTGTGTGTGTGTGTGCATGTATTTGTGTGCATGTGTGTGTGTGTATGTTTATCTGTGTGTGTGTGTGTGTGTGTGTGTGTGTGTGTGTGTGTGTGTGTGTGTGTGTGTGTGTGTGCATGTGTGTTTGTATGTTGAGCAGTAACTGCTGAGCCTCTGACTGACTTTAATGTTGCAGCGATGCTGAAACAGTGGTTGGATAGCTTTAGCGTTAGTAACCATAATTCCTCCCTTGGCAACGACTCTGTGTTCTGAACTCGCTCACAGGACCAGGGCAATAAGTTCTAGTGAAGAAACACCGCCGTGTCTGCAGCTGTCTTGTGAGGATGCATCTACAGTATCCAATCATTTTTTTTAGACCCAGGTGTGTTTAATTACCATAGAGACGTTGTAGTTTTTACATTTGTTTGATATTCTTGATTATTTATATTTATTTTATTTATCATCGGCTGTATTTTGTTCATACGTGTTAACAAATTAAAAGGATTCTGACACATTTCAGCTGATTTCCTCAGAGGTGTCAATCAGCTGTTGGTGTGATGTATGGGTGATCATACCTGGGATGCCTCTGGGGACTTTCTGACAGCGGTGGGTGTGGCCAATGTGGAAGACGTCATTGGTGAGCCAGATTGGCCACACCCTCATGTAAAACAGCTTTTGCAGATGCTTCTCACCAACTACTAGTGACACATTACTTTTTATGTCTGACAGCCTAAAAAAGTTTTTGGTTTCACCGAGAGCTGTGGAATTACATCCTAAAGTATTTATAATAATAATAATAATAATAATAATAATAATAATAATAATAATAATAATAATAATAATATGTCACTCATGGAAAACCGGTTCTAGGTGAGGGATCAGACAAAGTGCAGCCCTTACACCCCCTCATTGATGCAACCGACACACGGCAGTGATACACCCACTTGATGATGGCGGCACACATGTTTGCTCCGCATGTGACGGCTGCAATTGAACTTACCAACAGCTTGAGGATAACGTTCATCAGGTTAAGATGAGCATTCACCAGTTAGAAAATGACTGGAGGAACACGGATCAACTCCTGATCAGCTTCATGTCTGTTGCACCTGATCAATCCAGGTATATCTCCCAGCTCCAGCCTTCACATGCTCATCCGTTGGTCCCGTCCTCTCCCACCGGACTATCGAAAGCCCTTTCCTTGGACACTGGCACTACTTTGCTGTTTAAAACATCAATGAGTGCTGGACCTAATATTGGATCAATTGTCTGCATGGCTGGACCTCCAGAGTCTGAGAACACTCCCGTTGAAGCAGCCTGGAATTGCAGCACAGTTCCTGCTGAGATTCCCCTGTGTCACGCCCTCTTCCCCTCTTCCGCAGTGCCAGTCCCACCTGAGGATGAGTAGATCTGGGTACGAGACCCAGGACTCGGGTCTTAACCTTTACGCTGGGTCGTTTTGGTTCACAGGCCCATCCATCCTGGTTGGAGTTGCGCGGAATGGTCGGAAACTGAACCATCCTCAGTTCCTAGAGTCACTACAACCTCTTCTGGAGCTCTCCAACTGTTTTAATCTCCGTCAAACAGTTTCCAACTTTCCACCTAACAAGACTGCCCACCCGCCCGCAGCTGATTGCGCGAGAGGGTGCTCGCTGCAGAAATACAAAGGCGGAGCTGCACCAGAGTCAGCCCCGCCCATTCACGCAAACTCAGCCTAGCCCACTGACTTGTTTTTGTATTTTAACTTTATCGCAAACTAACCTGACCCACATGAATTACGGCTGTTAGTAGTTTACAATTGTTAATGCTATGTTCTATGCTCCAATTAAACAAGATAAATATAACTTGCCACATGACAAAGCCTGAATATATCCCGAAATGAAAAGGTTTCTTTTAGCAAATATCTGCCCACAGCCGCTCCAACAAAAGCGGCCTACAAGAGCATTTAAGGCTTATTACTGTGTGGGCTTTGGTAGTCCAGTGGCAAGCTCTTCTGACTTAGGTTTTGCTTTCCCCTCTGCTGATGCTGGTTTGACTCTCGGTGGGGTCGACAACAATCTATTTAGCCAGCTGAAACATTTAATTTGTTTATACTTTAGTTGTAATGTTTATTTTCTGCAAAATATTTGTGTCTCTAAAAGTTCTTTGAATTTGGTCGTTCCTAAACAGCATTTTAGTTGAAACTCTGCTCACAAATTCAATTCAATTCAAGTTTATTTATATAGCGCCAAATCACGACAAGAGTCATCTCAAGGCACTTCACATAATAAATATTCCAATACAGGTCAGGTCATTAAGCCAATCAGAAATAATGTTTCCTATATAAGGAACCCAGCAAATTGCATCGAGTCACTGACTAGTGTCAGAGTCTTTACAGCAATGCTCATACTAAGCAAGCATGCAGCGACAGTGGAGAGGAAAATTCCCTTTTAACAGGAAGAAACCTCCAGAGAATCCTGGCTCAGTATAAGCAGCCATCCTCCACGACTCACTGGGGATGGAGAAGACAGAGCAGACACACACACACACACACACACACACACACACACACACACACACACACACACACACACACACACACACACACACACACACACACACACACACACACACACGGACTCACACTGGCTAAATAAACGAATAAATAAAAAAACAAACACGTTAGTCATTATATTTTAAATGGTATACCAATAAATTGTTGTAAACATAGTACTGGTAAGTGTAGCTAGAAAGGAAGAAAAAAGTTAATGCCGCTACTGGGAGGCAAACCTGCATGCCAATCTGACTCCGTAACCACTTCACCACTACATCTGATAACAGTCAAGTGGCGTCACATGTAATTGTGCCATTCAGTGTGTCTTTGTAGATGGGATGTATGGTTTTTCCGGCGGTGTCTCAGTAGAAGTCATTTCAGAAATAATTTGTCAGAAAATTCACAGAATATCCAAATTTGAGAGCCAAGACCAGACCCGCTTCAGGGGGAGGAGACCAAATTGAAGCTGAGATGGGAGGAAAATACCTGAATGAGGCCAAAAATGGCTTTGGCGTATTTCTTATGAGGAAATGACAATTTAACATGGTAAAAAGTTCCAAAAGTTAGATTTTTAATTATATGGAACCTTTTCAAAAACTGTTCAATTAACCTCTCAAATCCATCCTCAATCTTGCATTTTAGATTATATTAGCTAGAACACCCTCTTTGGTTCCAGAATGCTATCAAGTCTGACAACTGGAAGGAATTGGACTGACTCTGATGGAATGGGCGGGGCTGACTCTGATGCAGCCCCACCTTCTGGTGCAGTTCTGCCTTTGTGGTTCTGCAGCGAGCACCACTTGGATCTGACAGATCCGGGTTGGTCACGCCCACCAGAACAACAGCTGATAACGACACGTCACACAAACACCTGTGACATTTGTGAAGAAGACCACAGACGACGGTCGAAACATGTAAAGGTGTAATGATGGGTTGTTTACATCTTACATATGAACCATAAAATGTGAGATTCCATAGAAATATGAAATATCAATCTGATGGATCTTTGACTATTTTAACCAGAAGATCAGAACTTTTTATTGCAGGGATTAAGCGACACTTCGTATTAACTCCAAGGAAAGAGAGGGAGTCAGATTTAAAATTGTTCAGAAATTTATTTCTACACAATTTAAACAAGACTAACTTTAACACTCTGTGTACTGATGGACTAGGTGGAGTGAGACGTGATGAATGATGATGGTGTGTGTGTGGAATGTTATTCAGAACCAGCGGATCCGGAGAAGCAGTTAGTTCTGAGTGGGAATGAATGTTTCGCTCTAAACTTTAGTAGGTGATTTATAACTTACATGAAACACCATCTGTCGGTCTACGCACCCAGAGGAAGCCTCCGTTAGATCCAGAATGCCGAGGTCCTTGTGGACCCTTTTTGGTACCGAAGCCAGTAGAAAAGCAGCGGTGCCGACCAAACTGGTCTTTGAATGCTTCCAGGTCACAACAGGTTATCACTGGCATCTCCGAGACCCTGAAGGGGTCGCGAGGTTCAGCTTTTATTCTGAAGGAACCATTGAGGTCAGGTGTAACTTGCAGCAAATTTTATCCAGCTTGTCGAGGTTCTTTTGGCTGAAGAGGAAGTTCGGATGGCCTGTCCGAGACTCCTCTAGAACGTTTTGAACTAAAGAAAAGGTGGAGTGGAATCAGTGGTGGCTGGTGAAAAATATTTTTGGTGGGGCTGTGCTATTTTTTTTTTAAACAAACTTGTGCTTTCTGAGCTTTGTGCACAACTTCACTATTTCCTGAATTAAGCACAGCTCTTTTATTTCCTGTCTTACATCATTGGACAAACTGATTAATCCAGGTGTGTGTGACTATTGGCACACTGCCTTGCAGACCAAGGTTGAAAAATACTGCATTCAATTGCACATAAAATAACACGACCATAAATGGTAAATAGGCAATGCAAGAGGCAAGTAACAAAAACATTTTGTTTAATTTCAACATTTGAGTGAACACGAAACATTACGAGCAGGTCACTGTTACAGTAATGGTAGTAAACAACACTTAGACAAAATGCCAGAAATTTACACTGTTAAATATTTCTGGAGTGTTGTGCCAAGGTCAACTTTATACAAAGATCAAGTGGATGCATGTGTGTGTGTGTGATACCTCATTTGTACAGAAATTTTGCCCTTCTGTACTTCTGAGTGGCAAAGCTCTCGATTAGCTTTTTATTGAAGTCAGGAATGTTTGTGACAAGCTTTTTTTTTCCATGGAGAGCATGGCAAGAGCATTCAGCCCATCCGGTGTCATGGTGTTCCTCAAGGAAAGTCTTAATCCTCTTTAAAGTAGAAAAGCACCTTTCTGATTCGGCTGTGGTCATGGGTGTGGTGACAAGAATCTTCTTTTGCATGGCTCAGGATGGTGTGAAAAACCTGTCATATGATAAATAAAACACAACAGGTAAGTACATAGGAAACAATTTGATAGGAAATAATGTCATCAGTATCCTCTTACAAATGTCATATTTCCCAGTTTTTGTGACAATAAAACATTTCTGATTCTCAATCAGATGTTTTTACATTTGAGGTAAAAACATCTAATTGAGAATCAGAAATGTTTAATTGTCCCAAAAGGGAATTTGTTTGCTGCAGCAGAAGTGTAACAAGTAAAATGGAATCAGATTGATGTATGTACAAATTTACATGAAATACACATTTACGTGATTAAATATGTATAATAAGTATGTGTGTTGAAATTAGTTTTTACAGTTATTGCACATTAAACATGTTATTAAACAAATGTCCCGGTTTGTGGGACAACCAAGGATTTCTGATTCTGATGGTCTTGTTCACAGAAATGTAATGTACAGCTTACCTCTGCACCCAGCTGCTGTTGTTCCCTGCATGGCAACGTTAGTTCTGCTGCCTAGCATGGCTAGCTTCACCGTGTTGTTGTCCATGTGTGCCCGGGATGACTCGTGTTTTTTCACCTTCTCAGAAAAATGTTTCATGTCTGTAACTCCTGACTCATCCATGCCTTATCTGTCCCAGCCGTTTTGAATAACAAACACGGAAAGCCAAATAACGCATTAGCGTGTTTGCATCCAGCTAGCCAAGCCTTCCTGGTGTACCAATTTTGGGAGAAGCCTAGTGTGTACAGTTTACCTCTCTCCTTCTCCTGCCGGCTTATCTTTACGTCGGGCTGATCTGGTCCAAGCTCTTTGACATTAAGTTTTTCCACCATAGTTCTCCTCTCGAACGGATAGTGGAGAAGAGACCAAACTGAATTCAGTGGCTGCTGAGATCCGGTATCCATGCTGGTTGTAGTCACCGGCGGCGTCCATGTTACATCTGCGTCACGACCAAAAACGACTCTGCCGAGTTCTACCGAACACCAACGAATCCTTTGGCAGTAGCTCCATCGCCCATCATGCTACTGAAACGTTCTGAAACAACGTCGACGCTGATTGGATACATTCCCATTCCTACCCTTTGATATTCTTGTCAGCAATTGGACAGCTGGTCTCGTCCTGTTTGGGCGATTGAAAAACAGCACACAGCCTCCACCGCTCGGCAGAGACCGGCAGAGATCGGCAGAGACCAATATAGATATATATATATATGATTTATTTTTGTTACAAAACACACAATTAACTTAGAATATGTGATTATTGTTAATTTTATTTATTTATTTTTTTTAATAAAAATTAAAAACACGGAAAAACTGGGAGGGCGGCGCCCTATCGCCCTCTACTGGCCAGCCGCCACTGGAAATGTATGTATATATATATATATATATATATATATATATATATATATATATATATATATATATATATATATATATATGTATATATATATATATATATATATATGTATAAACAAAACGACATATGGAAAACATGTGTATGTGTAAATTTGCAGATTCACCAGTTATGGAGAAAGAAAAACCAAACAAACCAAGAGAAAGAAAAACCAAACAAACCAAAAAACACCGAAAAAGAAGAACAACAGCTTACCGTTCTGGGTTAACCCTGTTTTCTTCACTCTTATACTTATTTAAAATTAGGTTTTTATATTTTACTTTAAACTGGTTTAAGTTTTTACTTTCTTTTATCTCTTTTGTTAGACTGTTCCATAATTTAACTCCTGCAATTGCGATTGACATAGTTTTAAAGTTGTTCTAGCACTTTGTATTTTTAAATTCCATTTCCCTCTTAAGTTATTCCCACCTTCTCTTCCTTTGAACAATAAACATATTTCTTTTGGAAGCAATTTATTTCTTACTTTATACATTATTTGCACTGTTTTGAGCTTCACCAAGTCTTGGAATTTAATAGCTTGCATTTCGACAAAGAGTGCATTTGTATGGTCCCTGTACCCCACATTATTTATTATTCTAATGGTCTTTTTCTGTATCAAATCAAAATCAAAAATTCAAAAGATACTTTTTTAATCCCAGAGGGAAATTAGAGTTTCAGTACACACAATTCAGAGATCAGACATACATGGGCAAGACACATGACAAGAATTGGTGACTGTGGTCATTCGCAACCATGAGTCGCGCTACCTTAATAGAAATAAGAGGTTTACATGAGGATTGGTTCAGGTGGAGGGAAAAAAGGCACTTCAGAGTTACCCTCCACAGGGAGGGCAGCTTTGATCTGCAAAAAACCTTTCAGACAGAAATGCAACATACTTCACACAACACAACATAAGTGCCCACTAGGTGGGGTGGTGGGTTGGTACTATCCCCACTTCAGTTCCTGCAGCCACGATAAGCAGCACAGGTCACCTCAGTGTGGACAGGGGGAGGAGCATTGAGGGTTGGAGGGTTGCAGTGACCCTGGAACAATTTGGCGGCCTTCCCGCCCAGGCTGGGAAAGGAGACAGAGTTGAGTTGCCATAGCGACGGCACATTCCACACATCTTCTGAGGGGGGAGTTTTTGTTGGAGCCTTGCAGGCTCAAGGGTGCCAGATTCCGATTAGAAATTGTTTTGGGGCCAGACAGAGATAATTTCCTCTCTGTCTTACAGTTCCTTGGTCCTCAACCTCTCAAAATCCCAATAATGGACATTAAACTATCCCAATCTGTGCTGCTTCGTCCACTCTACCCTTGATGGCATCCATCTTTTGTGCCAAGGAATGAATCTTGACCAAAGTTCCAAGCTTACAATTCATCTCGACAAATATGTGAGTCTGTGAATTCACAGTGCGGTGCAAACCATCTCTGAGCTCAGGGATCAGGCCAATCCTCCTCGACAACTCGTTAATTTTCCAGTAAGCCAGGAAGCCTCCAAGGCCAATGAGCAGGAAACCTGACACCAACACCAAGAATATCCACATGTCTTCAGAATCCTCCACAGACAGCTGAGATAGACAGATCAAGTTTCACTGTTTCCAGGAGTCCATGATGTGTCCAACTGGGTCTGTCCCGGAGGGACATCCGGGAGCCCCTTCTCCCGTTCTCATTGTTGAAAAAATTTTATCAATCGCATTGAGAGACCAACTGACGAGATCCATTTTAGTGTATTTCAGTTTCCAGTTTCCAGAAAAATGCAGAAGCAGCCGTGCACCCAGCACACACAGACAGACAAAGGCCTTGAGTATAAGATATGGAGGAGAGGAGAAGAAAAGCATCTGCACCCTCCGAGAGCCAGAAGAAGTAATAGTTATCTTCTGTATGTTACTTTTGTATGTGATTCCCCAGACCTCTACACAGTAACTCATATATGGCAGTAGTAAAGCACAGCATAATATGTGCAGGGCTTTCTGATCCAACATCTTCTTTGCTTTCCCCAGGATGGCAACGACCCGTGCCAATTTTCCCCGGACATAAGTAATATGTGGCTTCCAACAGAGCTTACGGTCAGTGATCACACCAAGAAATTTAATTTCAATTACTCTTTCTAAATATACATTATCCACACAAATTTCTATTTTGATGTTTTATTTTTTTTTTGGTTACCAAATAACATAAATCTGGTTTTATCTAGATTCAATGATAATTTATTTATATCAAACCACTTTTTTAATATTGTTAATTCCTGTGTGATCAACTCCAAGACCTGTGGTAATTCCATCCCTGAACACAGTATATTTGTGTCATCTGCAAATATTACAAACTTTAAAATTTTTGATACTCTGCAGATATAATTTAGGTACATAATAAACAATTTTAGTCCCAGTACTGAACCTTGAGGTACTCTACAATCTATATCCATCAAATCAGACATGTATTCATTTATTTGCACATATTGTTTCCTATAGCCTACATAGCTTTTTAACCAGTCCCCAATGATTCCCCTTAACCCGTACCTTTCCATTTTTTAATAGAATTTCATGATTAACAGTATTGAACGCCTTTTTTAGGTCTAAAAAAACTCAGAGTGTATACCTCTTATTATACATACAGTCCGTTATCTATTCCATTAAATCTGTCAATGCCAAAGCTGTTGATCTGTTGCTTCTGAACCCAAATTGGCTATCTGTCAATAATTCATATTTTTCCACAAATCTGTCAAATCTTTTTATGAACAGTTTTTCCATTATCTTAGAGAACTGGGAGAGTTTTGACACTGGTCTATAGTTTGTAAAATGATGCCTTTCACCGGTTTTGTAAATGGGAATAACTATAGCCACTTTCATATCTTGTGGAAAAACCCCTTTTGAAATGACAAATTGAATATATATGTTAATAGTTTTACAATACCACCAATGACTGTTTTTACTGTTACCATATCAATATCATTCCAATCTGTGCTGGTTTTGTTCTTAAGTCCTCTAACTATGTCATAGATTTCTTTCTCTTCCACTGCTCTCAAAAACATTGAGCTTCTATTCCTTTCAATGTTTTCACCAGTGTCCCTTTCTATTCCATCAACCTTTATTTCTTCTGCCAGTTTCGGCCCTATGTTTACAAAGAATTCATTAAAACCATTTACTATGTCCTTCCTATTATTAATGCTTCTTGTCTCTTCCATAAAGTACCCAGGGTAGTAATGGGTATAATGCTCTCATTATATTAGTTAATTTATTTTTGTAATTTTTATACTTCCTTTCAATTTCTATTGTTCTCTTTTTTATGAATTCTCGATATAGGGTATTCTTTTTTTTGCTGGCATTTTGTAGTCTTTAGTCATCCATGGTCTTCCTGCATAGTTGTGTTTCCTGTTGATTTCAATTACTAGGCAGTTTTTATCAAGTAATCTGTTAAATGTTCTTAAAAATACTTCATACGCTTCGTTAACTTCTGTTTGTTCATATGCCATATTCCAATCTTGTTTTAAGAGTTCATTCCTAAGACAGTTTATTGTTCTCTCTGTTCTTATTCTTATGTACATAATCTTGTGCCCATCATTGTTCACTTTATGGTGGCAATTTTAAGACGCAAAGACTGGTAAATGGTCGGTTATATTGTTGATTAACAGCCCACTTTTTATATTTTCTTTTATTATATTTGTAAATATGTTATCTATTAGAGTTGCACAATGAGATATTATTCTGGTCGGTCTTGTTATCAGTAAACCCATGCTGTACATGGAATCAATAAATTCTTCTGTACTCTTATTATGATTTGGATTCAATAGGTCAATATTAAAATCCCCACAAATAAACGTTCTTTTCTGATTTATATTTGTAAATAATTCCTCCATATAATCCTTAAATATCTCAATCTTGGATCCTGGTGTTCTGTATATACAACTGACAATTAAGTTTTTCCCTTTTTCCATACTTATTTCCACTGTTAAACGTTCCATCCCTCCATCAACAACAGTCGTCATTCTTCCCATTCTTTCACATTTTAGGTTTTTATTAATGTAAAGTCAATATTATTACTGTCCATTTCAATACCCTTGCTGTCGAAGAAAGTAATTACCTGCTCTTCCAGAGTGCATAGTTCTTGCCCAGGTGGCTCTCCTTTTTCTGAAGCTGCCACCCTTGCATATGTTTGATGCTTGGTTTCCAGTCCTGTCACTAGGGTTGTCACGGTAACCGGTATAGCGGTAAACCCCGGTAAAAAAGTTGACAATAAAAATAACCGTCCAGTTTTTAAAAAACTAAATTATCTCGGTGGGTTTATCGTGGCCGCGGTTTCGGCGCGGTGACCCTTACCAGCCACCGTCGCTTCAGCTGAAGTTCCCGCGGCGCGCACACGCACTTTTTAGTTTGCAACGGCACCAAAACTTTGAAGCTGAAATAATGGCCGAAGGAGGAGACGGCAGCGCCCAGGACATCCATCAGCCCTCAAAGAAGACTAAATCGAAAGTATGGGCATATTTTGGATTTCTGAAAAACGCTGAGGGACAGTTAATAGAAGACTGCTATCCCGTTTGCAGAACGTGCAGGAAGCACGTGTCTGCAAAAGGCAGCAACACTTCGAATCTAATGGCACATCTGCGTGACCATCACCCACGTCTCTACAGCCAGTGCAAGGTAAGTTAACATTAGCATTTTAGCTTAAATGCATGACGTGAGGACTTTTGGTTGAGGGAGAATACAACGAGTCGCTATAAACTGCAGCCGCAGCGTCCTCTGCCAGCATTTAAACCGTGTCACGGACACCCTGTTGCTGGATGAAGCATCTTATTTGTTTATGATGAAGAGAAATATACAATTAGTTCCTTGTCATTGATTTGTTTACTTATTCAATGCCATTTATACTTGAACATTTGGATTTGATTACATAGTGTAGTAGTTATTTTAGTCATTTGTTTAAAGTGGCTATTTTAAATACATATTTTTTAAGGTTGACTTGTACAGTGCTCAAGTCAAGTGTGGACTGGAGTTTTAGATTTTCATTTTGATAATGAAGAAAACAACTATATGAGAAAACAAGTGGTGTTTCTTTGATTTGTTTACATATTGTTTATGTTTTGAATGTTTGGATTTGTATAATTTAAACCTGCACTGACTACTGTAACATGTTCCAGAAAAAGAAGCTATTTGTTCCTTTACTTGTGAAAAGTTGCACTTTTGCTAAGGCTTTGTGTTATTTTAGGTTTAATAAACACTGTTAAACCTTTTCAGAACTATTTCAGTTTGTGTAGAACTGGACTATCAATGCTTTCTGAACATATGCAACACCGTTTACAAAATACCGCGATAATACCGAAAACCGTGATAATTTTGGTCACAATAACCGTGAGGTTAAATTTTCATACCGTGACAACCCTACCTGTCACTATCACATCATTTACTCTTGTACATTGTTCCAGATTTGACACTCGTCCTTCCAGCATAGCAATCTTCTTGTCCTTGTCCTCGCTCAGCCTTCTTAGTTCTTTGATATCATCCATTAAATCATCAGTTTTTGTTGTTTTGAAATTGTTTTTATTTCTTCTGACATAAAGTTTAGTGATTTCTTTACGTCTTCCAGTTCCTCCTCATTAATGTTGCTCCTCTTAGGTGGCATCTTATCAGCGTTAAGGGCCGCTGGTTGTGAAGCCGGCGTGATCTGACAGCTAGCCTCGTTAGCTGGTGGTGGAGCCTGTTGGCTAGGCCCAGAGGCTGGTGGTGGAGCCCCAGTAGAGCCTGGTCAGGTAGCTGGAGCAGAACCTGGGCCTGGTAGCTGAAGCAGAGCTGAAGCAGAGCCTGTAGCTGGAGCAGAACCTCGAGCTGATAAATAGGACGGTTCTGCCTTTAACCGCAGAATTATGTGATTCAATAAAAACAATACAATAAAGCATTCAGCTAATTAGACTCATATTTGAATAAAAACCTCAAAACCTAAAATCCCAACACTCCATTTCTGCAGATAAGATGCTTTTAGAGTGAAACTGACATGAAAGGCACCGGGTGGCAATGCTTGGCTTTGAATTCATTCATCATCACTTCCATGTGTGAAATGAATTTAGTTTGATTTCAAACGTCTCATCTCTGTGTTAATGTGTTGGTGTGTGTGTGTGTGTGTGTGTGTGTCTGCTGCTGAGCGGAGAAGTGAAACAGATTTTCTCTCTGTGAAATATGTCCCACATGTGTCTGAGGGACTTGAGTAGCATTAAACATAGTTGTTCTGTTTATCCACAAGTCTCTAAGTAATCAGGTGAGAGGCTTTGAAGCTGCATCATTTTATCCTTTAAAGAAAGTGAGAATGAGCTTTTCTTGCTCTTACATCATTGTTCCTTCCCTGAAATGTCCCCCTCTTTGTGAATAAGACACTAATCATAACCAAGCATCAGCCACTTCTCCCCTGATTGTTACGACTAGAAGCAACTTGACGTTTGTTCCACCAGCAGCAGGTCTGACTATGAATCTGCAGGAATGCAGATGTAAGTTCACACGTCTGTTCAGCTCAACTTCAGCAAACAGGAAAATGTCCCAAAAGGGTTTTCACACTTTGGTGATGGTGATGTTGAGAGATTTCCCAAGATCCACATTACAGACATCTGAATGGACAAGCACACAGAGCTGTCCAAGGTGCCTATCTCTCTTCCAAAGGGAATACTGCTCATCTCAAACTGGAAATTGGACTTTAAAGGAAGTCCGTCCCTGGCTAGAATACGTCCCCTCTTACTTTCTGGCTCAAAGCCAAAGAAGCGAGATAGAATCAGTAAAGCTTTCATTTCATATTTGAGTTCATTTGTTTCTCAAAAATGTTTCTTTTCTCGGAGCTGCTAGTTCCAGTTGTAACACTTCTAAATATATAAAGTCTCAAATTAGTATAAACCGTTGATAAATGATAAATGACCCGCACTTGTAAAGCGCCTCTCAGATTAAGGACTCCAAAGCGCTTTACACTACAGTGTATCATTCATCCATTCACACACACATTCACACACTGATGGGGATGAGCTACGATGTAGCCACAGCTGCCCTGGGGCGCTCAGACAGAGGCGCCACCGGTCCCTCTGACCACCACCAGCAGG